GTGTGAAGTTTCCACAGTCAGTGATGGTTTGGGGAGCCATGTCATCTGCTGGTGTGGATCCATTGTCTTTTATCAAGTCCACAGTCAACGCAGCTGTCTACCAGGAAATTTTAGAGCACTTCATGCTTCCCGCTGCTGACAAGCTTTTTGGAGCTGAAGATTTTATTTTCCAGCAGGATTTGGCACCTGCCCACACGGCCAAAATTACCAGTACCTGGTTTAATAGCCATGGAATAACTGTACTTGATTGGCCGGCAAACTCGCCTGACTTAAAGAAGAGTAGCAGGGAGCAACAACCCCTCCAACCTGGGGGCCTCATTTCCAGCACTGGGTCAGCAACAGAAACAGGAAAAGAGTCGCCTGTTTAAAGATCCTGAGAGAAAATCAGCATCTGAAGAGAAAATGTAGAGTTGTACTTTCGTCAAGTCAGTGTTGTATTTACTGTATGTTAAAGTTACAATATGTAACTAAAGGTAGCGTTAGCATGTACAGTAACTCCAAATCAGTCTGCTCTGCCCACCGCTCCCTCTCTCAGCTCCACTATGCTCTACTATGATCTGCTACCCTCCACCACGCTCAGCTCAACTACAGTTCCCTCCTGACTCTCTCATCCTGCAACCACGTCCGAGTGTCTTGACTAAAGACTTCATGGAGCTCGAGGTGGACAATACAGCACATCTACAACCTGAATGACCTGGGGGAGGATGAGCCTGACCTGTCGCAGCTCTCTGGAGCACACGGCATGGGTAGGACACATGCTACTCTCACACAGTTCCGCTACCTCTGTCATTCCTATTCACCTCATGAACTCTCCTATAAAATTCATGTTTCTTGCTTTAAATATTGGAATATTTAAGACTGCATTTGCTTCATTTTCTCAGTACATGTGGGTGTTTCCTTCATGGGTAGTTTAACACTTCTTTCTCCCTCCATGACCTCACAGTCTCTCCATCCAGTCCCAACCTCCCCCAGACCTCTCCCAGACCTCTCCCACACATACCATTACCACTTGTCACGTCCTCCGACCCTCCCTCCTCATGCCCTCCATCTCCACTAGGTAAGAATACACACACATGCAGTCTCCCAGAGACTTGGTGGGCTTTCATGCATGCTGTATTGTCTTTGTGTATTTTTTATAAACCTGACCAAGTTAGATTTGAACTCATACTTGATTTTGTATTGGCATGATGGACCTAATTTCCTGTTACTCTGAACAAGGAACTCCTGAAAAATAATCTTTTATGTTCATTAATCTACAGCTTTGTTTTGCAGTGCATCTTTCATTTAGTGAGGGTGGATATTCCAGATTTGCTCTCTTCCATCCTGCTGCTTTTTCTCTTCACTTCTGCCCTTTACTCCCACAGTGGCAGGAAACATCTGTCTG